GAGTCATGTAGTGAGTGCCAGGGACAGGAGGAGGACGCTCACGTGGGACACGACGACCAGTGCGAGCAGTACGAACAGGCGACGCAGGACGAGACTCAGGCTCACGACGCTCTGTAAGACCTCCTGTGGGACCAGCGTAAGGGGAGGGAGCAGGGAGAGGCGAGACAGGCGGTAACTGTGACTGCTGCTGGACAGGCAGAGGACACTCGACGGAGGGAGGAGGACAAGGAGGAGGAGCCTGACCAAGAACCTGCTGAAGGAGCGGTACGAAGTACGGTCGCGGCCGCGCAGCGTCTCCAGAAGCAGCAGGGACACCAGTGGCAGCCGCAACGCCCGAGTCCTCAGCACCAGCAGAAGCTCCAACGCCCGAGTCCTCAGCACCAGCAGCAGCTCCAACACCCGGGTCCTCAGCACCAGCAGCAGGGCCACTGGTCAGGTCCTCAGCACCAGCAGCAGCACCACCGGTCGGGTCCTCAGCACCAGCAGCAGCTCCAACGCCCGGGTCCTCAGCACCAGCAGCAGGGCCACTGGTCAGGTCCTCAGCACCAGCAGCAGCGCCACCGGTCGGGTCCTCAGCACCAGCAGCAGCTCCAACGCCCGGGTCCTCAGCACCAGCAGCAGCTCCAGCCCCCGGGTCCTCAGCACCAGCAGCAGCTCCAGCGTCCGAGTCCTCAGCACCAGCAACAGTACCACCGCTCGGGTCCGCAGTACCAGGAGCACCACTACGAAGACTGCAGCGCCGCGTGTACCACTCGCGGATCACCTGAATGGGGGGGAGCTCCTGGGTAGGAGGGGAAGTACCGGGACGAGCTCCAGAAGCACCTCTCCGGAGGCGGCAGTACTCGAGGTACCTCTCCTGCAGCTGCTGGGAGGAGGGGGCTCCTCCAGGTGGAGCACGCTCAGGCTCAGCACCCCCAGACTCAGCACCCCCAGACTCAGCACGTCCAGACTCAGCACCTCCAGGCTCCGCACCTCCAGGCTCCGCACCTCCAGGCTCAGCACCCCCAGTCTCCACACCTCCAGGCTCAGTACCTCCAGGCTCCGCACCTCCAGGCTCCGCACCTCCAGGCTCAGCACCCCCAGGCTCCGCACCTCCAGACTCAGCACCCCCAGGCTCCGCACCCTCAAACGCAGCACTCCCAGGCTCAGCACCCCCAGACGCAGGACGCGAGTCAACAGCTACCTCGACAGGCTCACCCGGGTCTACCTGGGACACACCTGAGGGAGCGGCACCCTGAGGGGGGAGGGGGTCTGGTACCTCAGCACCTGGAGCGAGGAAGAGAGGCGGGGGGGGGAGCGGGGCAGTGCGGTAGGGGAAGAGGCGGTAGAAGGGGACGGACTCGTCAAAAGTGACGTCCTGAGAGGCCAGAACCCGGCGCGAGGTGACGTGGTAAAACTGCCATCCAGGCGCGTCGGGAACAAAGCCAAGAAAGACACAGGGAACAGTGCGACGCGAGAGCTTGTCCGCGGACATGTCGCGGACAAAAGCTCGAGATCCCCAGACCCGGAAACGCGACGCATCGCCAACCTCTCCCGTCCACCGTAGAGTCGGGGAAGTCTCCGGCAAGGAGACACGGGGCCAGAGGTTGAGCTGATGCGCTGCGTACCGGACCGCAAACGGCCACAGAAAGTGGGGAGCAGCCGCATGGGTCAGGGAGGTACGAGCGACCTCCATGACTAAGCCAATGCGGCGCTCAGCAACCCCATTCTGCTGTGGAGAGGCCGGAAGCGTGTACGACTGCTCAATGCCGTGCTCAGCACAGTAGGCTGCCAAGAGGTCGGAGGCGAACTCACCACCCCTGTCAGAGTGCAAGCGCAGGACAGGAAAGTCCGAGTGAAAGCGCTCGCCTAGCTGGAGACGGGCTCGGCTGATCCAGGGGATCAAAACACCAGGGACGTCACCCTTGGCGCGCAAGGGGAAGACCGTGGTGTAGCGCGAGTAGTCGTCAACAACTATCAGGAAGTACCTCTCCTGACCCTGACCACGGACGCGGGCCGGGCCCCACACGTCCATGTGGAGCGTCTGCAGGGGAGCGGTCGTCGGGGGAAAGGAGGAGGAGTGAGGAGCGGCGCGCTGCCGTCCCTCGACACAGGGAATGCAGTCAGGAGCAGGGGAGTCAGGAAGGGGAGGGAGCACCCTGGGAAGACCAGCAACAAGGTCCCGTTTGTGCATGGCCCGCAGGCGCTGCACAGACGGGTGACCAAGGCGGTGGTGCCAGAGGACGGTGTCGTTCGCCAGAGAGCGACACGAGCAGGGGGCGGACAGCTGACCTGACGCTGACGCAGACGCAGCTACCTGAGGGGACTCAGTGGTCAGTGTGTACAGGTCAGACCCCGGCTCTCGAGTGAAAGTAGCTAGGTGGCGGCCCGTCCGAGCACACGTGCAGTGAGTCACACGCTCGTAGGCAGGGGTGAACTGGTGAACACCCGAGTCCTGGAGCGCACTACCTGCCACCAAGTTCGTGGAGAACGAGGGGAGGTAGAGACCTGAGAGCGTGCCGGACGGAACCGCTGGACACGGAAGGGTGGTGGAGGAGGTCGCAAGGACCGGACCCCCAGAGGGGTCAGCAAGAGAGACAGCAACTGGCCGAGCTAGAGGCTCAAGGACAGTGCGGTCACGAAAGAAAGAGCGAGAAGCACCTGAGTCCAGTGTGAAGGTGTGCAGTGCTGCAGTCGACTCAGTACCAGGGGGCACAGACGCACAAGCACCTAGAGCAGCAGCTGCAGTAGTACCTGTGGAAGCAGACACACTAGCACCTAGAGCAGCAGCGGGGCTGGCCTGAATGCCCGGGTCGGGCGGAACACGCAAGTACTGAGCACCCTCTCCACTAATAGACATCGCATACATGGCAGTGAGAATAGCATCAAAGTCAAGTGCCCAAATATCAACACCCTTCCTGAGCAGATCAGCCCAGCGCGGCAGCTCACCCCCACCAGGAAACTGAGTGCGCCACGCATCGTTGAGGCGGGCGAAGCAGCGCTCCGTCTGGTGCGGCCCCCCACACGTCTGGCCAGTGCGGTCACCTGTACGAATAACGTACTGGCAGGTGACGCTGCGCCGCGCATACCACTCACGGGCGGCCTGAAGGGTCGGGGCAGGCTGCTGACTCTGACCGCCCGCCGGGCCTCCACGACCACCAACCCCTCCGCCTCCGCCCCGGCCACCTCCACCCCTGCCGCTGCCACGACCACCTCCGCCTCCGCTGCCACCTCCGCCCCTGTCACCACTCCCAACACCGCTGTCACCTCCACCACCGCCGCCACTAGCCTCTCCAGTCGCACCTCCACCGCCACCACCTCCACCCCCGCCTCCTCCGCCACCACCCCCACTCCTGCCACTCCTGCCCCTGCGTCGTCCGCCTGAAGCAGACGCAGCCCCGACCTTCTCAGCACCAAGGAGGTCGACAGCAGCAGCAGAGGCGACAGAGGGGAGGAGGGGGGAAGGGGAGCACCCCTCAAAGAAGGGGCCGCGGGGGTCGCCACGAGAGGTGCCTACAGCGACGATACTAGCCTCGGCTGCAAGCAGTTCCTTCTCGAGGAGGGCAATGGTGAGCTCAGTGGGGGAGCGAGAGAGGAACTGGTCCCTGACAGGGCGCAGAGAGTCAGGGAGGCGGGTGACAACGTGGTAGAGAGTGATCCAGAGCGGGGGGGGGTTGCTAGCGAGGAACTCATCAGGCATGGCAGCGCGAAAGCGAGCCTCACTAGTCTTAAGGTGGGTGATGAGGTCTGCGACAGTGTGAAAAGAGGCTAGGTCGGGGAACAGGTAGGGGAGAGTGAGGCGGCCTAGTGTGGCAGAAGCGGGTGAGGAGTAGCGGGCCACTACAGCTGTGTAGAGGTCCTTAGCAGTCTTGCACTGGCCGAAGTGCTCGCGCTCATCTAGCGGCAGGGAGTTGCGAATAGCAAAGCGAGCGTGCGCGTCACGGGTCTGCCACTGTGAGCGCTCAGTTGGGGGGGCAGTAGCGAGTGGGGCGGTCGCATGGCCGAGAGCGTGGTCGTACAGTGTAATATCTTCCTTGGCAGTGAGCTGTAGGAAAAGGTGCAGATCATCTAGCCAGGTTTCGAATTTGACCGGACGGCCCTCGGCGTCGAAAGCTAGAACAGGAGGACTAGCCATAGCGACAGCGGCAGTAGTAGAAGCAGTAAAGTCACTGAACAGGCGTGCGCTGGGTCAGCAGGGCCGGTGGGGCCTACAGACTGTAGTGGCGCACAAGCAGCAGTAGCAGGAAGTGTAGTAGTAGGATCTGCAGTGGTGCACAGGCGCAGCAGGCGGCAGCGAGAGCCGGCGCAGCAGGGGCGGGCTCAGCAGCGGTGATACGCGGGCGGCAGCGGGCGCAGCAGCGGCGGTGCGCGGGCGGCGGCGAGCTCAGCAGCGGCGGTGCGCGGGCGGTGGCGGGCTCAGCAGCGGCGGTGCGCGGGCGGCTGCGGGCTCAGCAGCGGCGGGCCGGGAGCAGTGCGGGCAGCGTGCGGGCCGGCGGCGGTCAGCGCACGAGCCGCGCAGGCTCAGCGCGGGCTGCGCGGGCTGCTCGCGGGCTGCGTAAGCGGGTCGCGGGCGGCTCGCGGGGGTTCGCGGGCAGGTCGCGGGCTGCTCGCGGGCTGTGCGCGGGCTGCGCGGGCTGGTCGCGGGCTGCGCAGGCGGGTCGCGGGCTGTGCGCGGGCGGTTCGCGGGCTGTGAGCGCGGCGCGCTGTGCGGTTCGCGGGCGGCGTGACGGGGCCGATCGGGGCGCTAAGGGGCGACGCGACGGGGGCCGTGAGAGGCCGCTAAAAAAAAAAATTCGACGGGGCCGCAGGGCCGCTAGATCTTGCTAGATCGACGGGGCCAGCGGGGCCGGAAACAAGCGAAGGTAAGCAGGTAGGTAAGTCGGTGGGCCCTAAGAACAGTCCTAGCGAAGGACCTGCTCTGAAACCATGTCAGAAATAACTGAGCAGGAATGAATGAACTAGAACAGAGTTTGGTACAAGTAGGAAACCCTAACTTTGTGTACCCCCTAAGGTGTAACCCACTACAGCCTAGACAATATAAACATGCAATGTTTGACACGAGCACCCCACACCCGGAAGCGCGACGCATCGCCAACCTCCCCCGTCCAACGCAGTGTGGGCGAGGTCTCCGGCAAGGAGACACGGGGCCAGAGGTTGAGCTGATGCGCGGCGTACCGGACAGCAAACGGCCACAGAAAATGGGGAGCCGCCGCGTGGACCAAGGAGGTACGAGCGACCTCCATGACCAGGCCAATGCGGCGCTCAGCAACCCCATTCTGCTGTGGGGAGTCCGGAAGCGTGAAGGTCTGCTCGATGCCCTCCGCCTGACAGAAGGTCCTCAAGAGATCGGAGGAAAACTCACCACCTCTGTCAGAGTGCAGACGCAGGACAGGAAGATCCGTCCGGAAACGGCGGCGGAGCTGGAGACGAACTGTGCGGATCCAAGGGATCAGAACAGCAGGGACCTCACCCTTGGTGCGCAAGGGGAAGACCGTGGTGTAACGCGAGTAGTCGTCGACAACCAGCAAAAAGTACCGCTCACCGCCCTGGCCACGAACGCGGGCAGGGCCCCACACGTCCAGGTGGAGGGTCTGCAGAGGAGCCTCTGTCGGGGGGAACGAGGAGGAGTGAGGAGCGGCGCGCTGCCGCCCCTCGACGCAAGGAAGGCAAGGCGGCGCAGGCGAGGCAGGGAGGGGAGGGAGGGACCTGGGAAGACCAGACACAAGGCTGCGACGGTGCATGCCACGGAGGCGTGGCAAGGAGGGGTGACCCAGGCGGTGGTGCCAGAGAAGGGTCTGGTGCGACAGGGAACGACACTCACAGGCGTGGGCCACCAGACCTGACGCGGACACCTGACCGACAGCAGCGACCTGAGGAGACGCAGTGGTCAGTGTGTAGAGACTCGACCCCGGCCGACGGGTAAACGTAGCCAGGTGACGGCCGGTCCTGGAGCACGTGCAGATCGCCACACGCTGTCCTCCAGGGGTAAAGGTGTCAACCCACTGATCCTGGATGACAGCGTTGCTCACCAGGTTCGTCGAGAACGAGGGGAGGTGGAAACCCGACAACGAGCCAGACGGAACCGCTGGACAAGGGAGCACAGTGGTGGACTGGGCAAGGACTGGGCCCCCAGAGGGGTCAGCCAAGGAGACTGGGACCGGTGCAGGAAGCGGTGTGAGCTCAGTACTGTCACGAAAGAAACAGCGGGAAGCACCTGAGTCAAGGGTGAAGGTGTGACAGGCCTCAGCCGGTGCGGTACCTGAGAGAGCAGTCTCTGTGGGTGCTGTACCTGAGAGAGCAGACTCGCAAACAGTCGGGACAGCACTGGAGGGAGCAAGTACAGGGGGCACCATACCGGAGAGAGCAGACTCACTAGTACCCAGGACAGCGGGCTCTATACCTGGGTCAGGCGGCACACACAAGTAACAGTCTCCCTCGGCACTAACAGTCAATGCATACATGGCAGCAATAATAGCATCATAGTCAAGAGCAAAGATATCAACACCAGCCCTCATGAGCTCAGCCCAGCGGGGGCGCTCAACATCCTCGCCCATCTCCTCACGCCAAGCGTCGTCAAGGCGGGAGAAGCAGCGGTACGGGGTGTGGAACCTCCCACACGTCTGTCCCTTGCGGTCACCTGTGCGAATGACATAGGAACAGCGGCCATTGCCCCCCGACGTCCCACGCTGAGCAAGCCACTCACGAAGCTGCTGGGTCGTCTGGGGACGCTGCTGCTGCTGGGAGCTCTGGCCCGAGCCAGTGCCTCCACTCCGACCTCCGCCACCACCACTACCTCCGCTCCGACCGCCACCGCCGCCGCCGCCACCGCCGCCGCCGCCGCCACCGCCGCCGCCGCCACCACTCCCTCCGCCGCCACCGCCGCCACCGCCGCCGCCGCCGCCGCCGCCACCGCTCCCTCCGCCGCCCCCGCCTCCGCTGCCGACCCCACTCCCACCAGCACTCCCGCCACCGCTCCCTCCAGCACCGCCTCCCCCCCCCCCCCCCCCCCACCTCCTCCCCCCCCAGCGCCACCCCCGCCACCCTTTCCCCCCCTTGCCCTTGCCGGTGCGGCGCCTCCCACCAGGAGTAGAAGCAGCGCCAGCAGACTCAGCACCAAGGAAGTCAACAGCAGCAGCAGTAGCGTAGGAGGGAGCGAGGGGAGAGGGAGAACACCCCTCAAAGATGGGGGTGCGAGGAGCGCCACGAGCAGCACCGACAGCTACAATGCTCTTTTCGGCCGCTAGCAGCTGCTCCTCTAGGAGGGCGACTGTGAGCTCAGTGGGACAGCGAGCAAGGAAGTGGTCTCGAACTGAGCTGAGGGTGTCAGGGAGTCGGGTGACTATGAAGTGGAGTGTCCAGTACAGTGGAGGGGGGTTCTTAGCGCAGAACTCGGTGGGAAGGGCAGCACGCAGGCGAGCATCACTAGTGCGAAGGTGGGTGATAAGATCGGCGACTGTAGCAAAGGTGGACAGCTCAGGGAACAGGTACGGCAGCATGAGGCGGCTAAGCTCGGCTGTGGCAGGCGAGGAGTAGCGAGCAACGACAGCATCGTACAGGGCCTTAGCGGATTTGCAGTCGCCACGAGCTCAGCTAGCGGCAGGTGACTGCGAATGGCTAGGCGAGCAGCTGCGTCACGAGTCTGCCAGTGGGAACGAACACTAAGCTCAGCTGTGGCAGGAGGGGCAGGTGCAGCACCAGACGCGTAATCATAGAGCGACACATGCTCCTTGCTATCGCTCAGAAGGAACAGCTGCAGGTCGTCCAGCCAAGTTGCGAACTTCACAGGGCGGCCCTCAGCATCGAACGACAGCACGCGGATGGAAGCCATAGTGACAGTGCGACTGAGCAAAGGAAGCTGCCGCAGCGCTGCAGGTAGGTAGCTCGGCGGGAAGCGCGGAAGGCGGGCGACTCGGCGAGCGGGCAGTGCGGGGGGCGGGCTACGAAGCGGGCAGCGCGGTGGGCAGGCGGCGCTGCAGGCGGGAAGTGCGGCGGGCGGGCTGCGAAGCGGGCAGCGGGGCGGGCGGGCGACGCGGCGAGCGGGCAGCGCGGCGGGCGGGCTGCGAAGCGGGCAGCGGGCGGGCGGGCAGCGCTGCAAGCGGGCAGCGGGCGGGCGGGCGACGCTGCGAGCGGGCAGCGCGGCGGGCGGGCTGCGAAGCGGGCAGCGGGCGGGCGGGCGACGCTGCAAGCGGGCAGCGAGGCGGGCGGGCGACGCGGCGAGCGGGCAGCGCGGCGGGCGGGCTGCGAAGCGGGCAGCGGGCGGGCGGGCGACGCTGCGAGCTGGCAGTGGGCGGGCGGGCGACGCTGCGAGCGGGCAGCGCGGCGGGCGGGCTGCGAAGCGGGCAGCGGGCGGGCGGGCGACGCTGCAAGCGGGCAGCGAGGCGGGCGGGCGACGCTGCGAGCGGGCAGCACGGCGGGCGGGCGACGCTGCGAAGCGGGCAGCGGGCGGGCGGGCGACGCTGCGAGCGGGCGGCTCGGCGGGCGGGCGACGCTGCGAGGGGCGCGCGAGGGCGCTAACGAGAGGCGCACGAGGGCGCTAACAAGGGCGCGCGAGGGCGCTAGCGAGGGCGCGCGAGGGCGCTAACGAGAGGCGCACGAGGGCGCTAACGAGGGCGCGCGAGGGCACTAACGAGGGCGCACGAGGGCGCACGAGGGCGCTACGAGGCTAGGGCACGGGGTAGCGTGGTAACCGCATGCGAGCGGTGGTGGGCCCTTAAAAAAAACGGTCGGTAGGTCCTAGGGACCTCCTGCTCTGATACCATGTCAGAATCCCAGCCACTAACCACTGGGATAAAAGGGCTTGTTTGTGTAGCGGGTGAGTGCGCCCATAACCCCCCAGGCCGACGTGCCTGTAACCCTTCCCTAGGATCATTCGGGGATCACCAGTGGACCTCTGACACCCCCCCGCACTGGGATGCTCGAGGTGCACACACCGGGATTCGAACCCGAGACCTTCGCTCTGATACCATGTCAAAAGAACTAGGCAAGAATGGTGCATTGAATGGAAGAATTGGGTACAAGTAGCAAACCCTAGTTGGGGTTGTACCCCATATTGGCTACCCCACTACAGCCTACAAACATAATACAGTTTAACAATGTTCACAGTTTTATTTGTATCATCCTTAAATTAATCATGTGTACTAACGGAATGCACGGCGTATATCGACTCTCGCTTTTTAACGTCGAGGTGTTATCGACATGCTTACGTGTGACAACACTATTTGTTCCGTTCGAAATGTTCCGAGCTTGTGTCTATGGTGCTATTCCATGGTCGCGCTGCGGTTTTTGTTACTATCAATCAACACTTGCCGCGTCAGCATGTGCATATGTTTAGTTCAAACCGAGAGAAGCTGAGCGCGCTGCGCTAAAGTACACGTCAGGTTTGGCAACCCTGACTACGCTGGTTTGGTTCCTACAATGTTGGAGGCTCTTGGTTGGGTACCTGGCAAAAAGTTCCGATATGACCGTACACTTACATGTACACGACCTCATTGAAGTCAAAATATCGGGAGCGCCTACCGCGCGGGATAGAAGGTGGAGTGTGTGAGTTTCGGGTTGTGTAAAAAATTGAGCGCGATAAAAAATATTCACGAGGCCAAAACCCGCGTCGCGACAATTCTCTCCAGTTTGACTGACGATCCGGTGGAAGGTTGCGAGATAAAGCGCTGTACTGTACCTCTTTTCCATTCTACTGAATAGATTTCCTGGGAGATGACATGATATATTCAGCAATTAGTTCTGCGTCTAAGCAACACTCGCGGGGATTCTTAAAACGGCGACAGGTATCCATCCATCAGGAACCGAGCCGTCAGTTCGCTATTATCATCCGCGAACTCGATAGAGCGTCGGCCCACAGCGCAGCGCCCCAACCTCAGGCGCCTCGGCGAATGTCTTGTTCAGCCCCCCACTTCACCCAAGCGCCTTCCGCCCCCGGCCTAGCCCTTTCGAATTCAGCCCCTCTCCCTCCTCCCTTTCTCAAATGCTTGCACCTGCTCCAGTTAGGAACACGTGGAAGATTTAGGCTCAACAGGTCGTCTCAATCAGCAGCAGGACGAACTATTGGTTCCTATTTTTATGTCTGTCCAGACCGCACGCCTGAATCAAGTCAGCAAACTCTCTCGCTCGACATCTACAGAAATTAATTTAATAAATCTCGAGACGCAAGTCGCAGGAGAGGGCTTTTTGAGTCCAAAAGAGAATCAGCACGCCTCGTGAATAGCATGGGCATGGACAAGGCTACCCTAGTACCTCCGGCAAGGTCCGAGGACGAGTATAAATGGCCACTCCTTACACGTGCAGTGCCGAACGAAGGAGCCGCCGCGCTCGATAGCCAGACGGGGAGTGGCCCCGCGAGAAACGTCGCAACGTGCGGCGACGATCTCGGCGCAATGCGCGGGGCCTGCCCGTATTCGTCTTCTGCCCTTCGAGCTCGAGAAGACTTAGACTGCAACGGCAAAGCTGATGGCGATGGCGACGGCGATGGCGGCGGCAGAGGCAGTGCCACGGTCAGCGACCGTCAATGTCCTTCAAGCAATCCTCTCGAGTACTGCGTTGACACGTGGAAGTTCGATGACGTGGCAATTAGCTTGAAAAAGGGTCATTCTGATTGGAAGGGGCGTCTTCTCCACGGGCTGTTCTGGGTCGTTCCGCTGCTGCTCATCGTGCTCGTACCGCAATTCGCGGCGGTGACGAGCGGTCCGAGAGACCTCACGCGGTTCGTTGACTTCCCGCGAGGCGTAAGAGCAGGAGGCGAGGGGGGTGTGATGGTGGAGATTGAGACGGAGGCCGGAACGATAACGGAGACGGTAACGGAGACGGAAACTGAGACGGTGACGGAACCTGCAGCGGCAGCGGTGCGGGATGTGTCGGAAGCGGAGGGCAAAGATGCGGAAGGGGGTGCGGGGAAGCTAGTGGGGGCTGCGGAGCTCGGTATCGTAGCGGAAGGGAGCGGGGGGGATGTGGCGGAAGAGGGGAAGGCGGATGCTCCAGTGGCGGAAGATACGGGGGTTGCGGAGAATGAGGATATGGACAAGAATGGCGAAAGGCAGAGCGAAAGGATAAGGAATTCGAAAGATAAATTGGAGAGAGAGGAAGCGGAACCACAAGGGGGACCTCGCACTGTTGTTGAATCGGGGAGGTCCTCGTCTCGCGAAGTTGGCGAGCCGAAACAGGGTATTGGTAACCACAACGCGGAGCGTGCGAACGACGCGAGCCGGCAAAACGAAAACGCAGCGAACCGCGCGACCTCAGAATCCGAAACGCGGGGAGAGAGGGACACGGACCAGCTGATTGCGGAATTGGAGCAGAGAACTTTGGGTGACGTGGAGCCTATTGATTCGCCGAGAGTTCTGAAGTACCTTCATGCGAACCCGAGGTTAACCTGGGAGACAGAGTGGTTACCAGTTCGGCGTGAAGACTACTTTCGCCCGGGCGAAAAATATTACTTTGTTACGGGGCTGCGTGATCTCTGTGCGGGAATTCGCCACTTCCATCGCAGCCTGTCGTGCAAGATCGCAGAAGCGGCTTTTCTGAATCGCACGCTTGTACTCGATATGGGGTTGTGCATTAACGGAATGCACAATGGCGGGTCTGCGAGTGTTCACGGCCTACATTACTACTACGATCTACCATCCCTCAGGTAAGCACTGTCCTGCAAGTCACACCCTTCCACCATCCGCAACCCCCTCTCTACTCGTGCTCAATCCCCCCCCCCCCCCCCCCCCCTGGTCCCTCCATGTCCAACCCCCCTGCAGTGCTCCCTGGAAGCCTGCACGGGTAACTTTCGCCGTTCTTTCTCCTTCTCTTCCTTTCGCCGTTCTATCTCCTTCTCTTCCTTTCGCCGTTCTTTCTCCTTCTCTTCCTTTCCCCTTTCTTTCTCCTTCTCTTCCTTTCCCCTTTCTTTCTCCTTCTCTTCCTTTCCCCTTTCTTTCTCCTTCTCTTCCTTTCCCCTTTCTTTCTCGCAGGGCCGCCAGATTTACCCCCCTGAATGGGTTGCTACAAGGCCTGAGGGAATGGCAGCAGCACGGAAATCACTAAACGGTCCCCACCTTACGCCCACCCCCACACCCCCGCCCCTCTCTCTGTTCCCCGCAGGGCCGCCAGATTTACCCCCCTGAATGGGTTCCTACAAGGCCTGAAGGAATGGCGGCGGCAGCAGGGGCAAGGGGGAGGGGAGGCAACTGGAAGGCGGTTGAGGGGTGTATCTGCGGGGGAGGGCGTATCTGCGGGGGAGGGCGTATCTGCAGGGGAGGGTGTATCTGCAGGGGAGGGGGAATCTGCAGGGGAGGGTGTATCTGCAGGGGAGGGTGTATCTGCAGGGGAGGGTGTATCTGCAGGGGAGGGTGTGTCTGCAGGGGAGGGTGTATCTGCAGGGGAGGGTGTGTCAGCTGAAGCTCTTTTTTCCCGTGTGGTGCAAGCAGACACACGGACTAGGGTGAGTGCCCAACCAGAAAAGTTCAAGGCAGGGGTGTGTCAGTCATAATCTGCAATATTTTCAGTCAGGCACCACGCTCCCACCCTCCCCCACATGCATGGGGAAGTGGTCATAATCTGCATAATCACCCATATTGCAACGTTTCTCACCCATAATCACCCACGTTGCATAGTGGTCATAATCACCCACGTTGCAATATTGCAATATTTCCAGTCAGTCACCCACACGCGCCATCGCTCTAACTCCTCCACCCTCCCCTCACCCTCTATCCCCCTATATCCCCTCTCCCTCCCCCCGCCTCCTCCCCCTATGAGCAGGCCATAGCACAGGACAGCAGCACCACGCTCATCATTCATTTGAAGTTCTGCAATCACCCTCATCAGCCACTCCCCGCCCCGCCCCCCTCCTCTTTCTCCCCCTCCCCGCCCCGCCCCCTTCCTTTTTCTCCCCCTCCCACCCTCTGCAGGCCATAGCGCAGGACAGCAGCACCACGCTCATCATTCGAGACGGCCATTACGGCTTTGAGCCATGCCGCGGCACGCTCTCTCACTGGCCCAACCTGGTGAGCCTCCTCTCTCCTCTGCTTGAGTGTGCGTTGCTCTTGTTCAAGCAATCACCTTTCTTCTTGCCCCACCCACCCCGTCCATTCACAGCGATTTGACTGCATCACAGCGATTCAACCAGCGTTCATTCAGCGATTCGAATGAACCGGCCATTCTCTTCCGCCCGGAGCTCAGGGGACTAGCAGCCAGCATATCGCAATCCACCCTCTCTCTCTTAGCTGCGCAAAGACCCATTTGTCTGTTTTCCCCATTCCAACCCACAATGCATTGAGGTCGTTTTTGAGGCGCCTCAAAAACTCTCTCTCTTAGCTGCGCAAAGATCCATTTGTCTGTTTTCCCCATTCCAACCCACCGACCCACCCTCCCATGTGTAACAGCGATTCGACTACATCACGTCGAATGAATCTGCCACGTGCATGAAGATTTGTCTCAAAACAAATCTACATCACATCGAATGAATCCGCCATCCTCTTCCGCCCAGAGATCAGGGGCCTGGCGGCCAGCATGTCGCAGTCCATGAATCTGCTTGCTCCTTTCCACCAACCCACCCACCCAACCACCCACACACCCACCCACCCACCCACCCATGTGTAACAGCGATTCCACTACATCACATCAAACGAATCCGCCATTCTCTTCCGCCCGGAGCTGAGGGGGCTGGCAGCCAACATGTCACAGTCCATGAATGGTGGGGACTATGATGCTGTGAGAGTGAGGAGAGGAGACAAGCTCAACACCGACGTGTGGCCACACGTGGCGAATGACACAAGCCCTCCCGCGTAAGTCAGCCGCTCAACTGAAGCTGTGTTAGTGTAGTAGTTGGTGAATTGTGTGAATTAATGCTGCTTGTGAGCGTACTTAATATAATCTTGAGATGCACAGTCAAATTACCCTACAAATGGTGTTCTGCTCCCTGTCTTTTCCCTCCACCCTGCACTGTAACAGTCTTTTAGAGAAGCTCCCCGGGTTCGTTGCATCTGGACGCACGCTGTACATCGCGACGAATGAGAAAACGCCAGGGTTCTTTGACCCGCTAAAGGCCATCTTTTCGATTCGGCAATTTCAGGACTTCGACCACCTCTGGGCGCCTGGCACGCCCTGGTTCGATGGATACGCGCGAATCGTGGGACCCAATCCGAAGCTCGACCCCTATATGGAGGTATGGTACTGTGAATTCCGGGGGGGGGCGGGTGTGCATGCGTGCGTGTGTGTGTGTGCATGTGTGTGTGTGTGTGTGTGTGTGTGCGTGTGTTATCGTGCTGTGTGTGTGTGTGTGTGTGTGTGTGTGTGTGTTATCGCGCTGTGTGTGTGAGTGTTATCGTGGTGTGTGTGTGTGTGTGAGAGTGTGTGTGTGTGTGTTGTCGTGCTGTGTGTGTCTAACAACCACCTTTGCTTGTTCTACCTTGTGCTACAATGTGCCAGTGTGTGTGTGTCCCGGTGTGTCTAACCAGCCAACTTATCCTTTCCTGTTGTGCATTGTGCTCGCAGTGGAGTACAAGGTACTGTTTGCCGTCCGTATGTGTGTCTGTCCCGGTGTGTCTAACCTGCCATCTTATTCTCTTACCTGTCGTGCATTGTGCCCGCAGGCCATTGTGGAGTACAAGGTTCTGTTTGCCGCAAAAACTAAAGTTTTCACGTTCAACAATCTGACAACCGATTCAGAGGGTGGCATAAGGCCTTCAGCCATGAAAAGGCATGCCACGACGACGCCATGAAAAAAGGGTAATGACTGAAATCGTGGGAAGGCATTTAGTAACCTTAAGGACAACAGATGTATTGTCCTGGCGCGTTACTACTGCCTTTTGTGCAATAATGCATGCTCTATTGTGCATGCCATGGCCCATATGGGGCTTGGTGGGCTTGCTTGCTGCCACTTTGGTGCCATACTGAGTGACCATGTGTGGAATGATGCATAGGATGCTGCTGTTTCGAGCTGTGCCATATTTATTACATCCAGTTGTCTCCGTCCGTACAAAACCTTATTAGCAAAAATGTACAGTACCTTACATGGATCTACTGAGCACAGCAACAATTTTATAGAACCCAATTGCCTATGTCAAATTAACAGCACAATTACCAGCAAACTTCGTGTGGTAACGGGAATGTAGATTCATCCATCCACGAGCGAGCCGCTAGTTCTCTTTAGTATCATCCGTGAACTCGATAGAGCGTCAGCTTACAGCGCCGCCATGACTTATTCCGCGAACACAGGGCATTGGCACACTCATGGGGCTGCTGCTCCGCTCTTCCGCAGTCATGGGGCTTCTGCTCCGCCGCTCCGCAGGTACTGTACAGTGTACACTGAGGGAGCCCTCATTGGAGCAGGCATCCTTGGCACGCCTGCCCCCGAACCCCGATCTTGCACCGCACCTTACGCAAACATAACAAGAACTGCCACGTCACATTGCTCCTAGCAGTTCACTCCTGCCCCGAACTTACTAGGGAGCCCTTCCGCCAGCGAGACTCGCCTTGAAATGACTCGTTTGCAGAATACAAAGCAAACCAAATTGTGTAAATTGAAGGTGTGAAACTGTTTAGATTGTATCAGGTTTGTTGATTTACTGTACACATTTCAGCCACCACAACCTCCCAACCTCTGACTTGCAAATGCCCTCCCGGCCTCTGACACCAGCACGATGGCCTTCGTGGCCCCAACTTTCCGCCGGTTAGGCAGCGAAACCAGTCAAACCCTAAGCCACCTAGGCAGGCTCCCTCTACTCGACTCCGTTTCGTTTCAAGGTAAGTTGCTGTTTTTCTTCTCTCTTTCTAACACTTCGCTTTTTCTCTCCCCTACAACCCACTCCGCCCCTAAAACAGAATTTCGCCCCCCCTTCAGTCCCCTTCTCATCTCTCTCAACCCGCTGAATCTTTTCCTGCTCAACGTCTCACGGCCGGACATCCTCTCGTCTTCAGCACCCCAGGACAACTTTCCCGCCAGGTGAGTCTTGCAGAACTTCCGTTTCCTCGCCGTGATTCCTTGCACAAACCCTCGTGTTATCCTGCCAACGCAATTCTGCCACGCCACCCAATCCACCACTTGAACCCCCCCACCCCTCCTTTCGTTTCCCCTTCTCCCAAGTCCCTCGTCTGTGCAAGTTCGAAGCCCACGCCAACCGATCGCCCTCCTCCGACCAACCTCACAACAATCTCAAAGGAGAGCCTTGTCAGCCTCCACTATAGGCTGCTGACCAATCTTACCCCCGTTTCTCGTCCCTCTTGTCAGGCGGGTCCCATTCTCTCCCACGTAACGCCATCTCCAGCTCCTCGTTTTCTTCACCTCTCCCTTCCGTGCCTCCGCCTGCACGGCGCCGCTGACTTCAATTCCCTTCCCGCTTGGCGCTGCCACCCCACGTTTGGCGCCAGCTCAGCGCTGCCCCCCCACGTTTCCCCTCCCTGGCCACCTCCGGCCGCGCCACTAAAATGGCTAGGAAGCTCGGCGTGCCGCCTAGGCTGCCAGTTTCAATTTTTGCTCGCACGAGTCTGGACCCTCGTAAGGTCCCGGGTTTCGGGCAGCCGACTAGGCTCCCAGCCCCGCGTCATGGCCTTAATGGCGTCGCCACGTCCCCGTAACATCCGCAACCTCTCTGCCCTCCCCGCTTTCCCCGCTCTCCCCCTTTCCGCCTGCTCTTCGCACTCCCCTCGCCCGCGCTCTCTCTTGAGATACTTGCACTCACGTTCTCCTGCCCGTCAGGAGCCCATGCTGCCCGCCTCGCCTCTCCCCCCTTATTCCCCTCACGGGGCCTCGTTCGATCGCTCTATATATAGCTTACCTTTCGTTCCTCCCTGCACTCGCTTTACAACTTACAACCCCCCAAGCTTCTCCTACTCACTTCTCACTATGGCTGAACAGGTCTACAACCCCGACCACACCATGACTGCTGCTGAAGAGGAGGCCCTCGTTGCCTCCGGGGAAGACCTTGCTGTGGACGACCTGCCCGAAGGCATGTTTCACCACCTCGCGGACCCTGTTGACCTCCCTGCTGCAAAGAAACCGTGCACGGCTTCTAACGCCAGCCCCGCTCCCAATTCCTCCCCCTCCACCTCCTCCGGTGCGGGCCCGGCGCTCCCTGCACACGCTCCCGCGTCCCTCGCTATCGCTGCCCTCACTGCGCCCTCGCTTGGCCTGGCACCGTCGCAGGCCGCAACTGCACCATCTCCCAACTGCCAGGCAGCTCGCGCAACCGCCTACGCGTCCGTCGCCTCAGGTTCCAACCTGGCGCCGGCGCTGCCTGCATCGCTCTTCGCCTCGCCCACTCCGGGCGGCGCCCCCCGCAATCTGCGGCGCGCGCGCACGGATGCTGCTGCCTCGATGCTCTTCCCCCTGCGTCGCCGCGCGGTAGTTAATGTTCTCCTCCCGGAAGCTGGGCTGGAGTCTCACCGCTCTGAAATCTTCGCAGGCATTAATTCGCAGCTTTGTAGCTTCATGTTCGCATCCGGCATTGTCCCTTCCTTCGAGCAGACCATTGGAGACCCCTACCGTGTGGCACGCCGTGTATATGGCCGCCTGCTCTTCTCATGGCCGTCGCAGGAAGATGCGGCGGCCTTTCGCAAGCTGTTTCCACTCACCCTCAAAGTCTCCAACTCCCGCCCCCTGTTGCTTAAGGTGTTTGAGGACAGGTTTGCAGCCTTCACTGCTGCCAAGGCTGCCGGCGCAACCACCATGTCTATTCGGAACGTCCCTCTGGATTTCGATCCAGAGGATATCCGCGCGTATCTCCTCGGCTCCACCGATTCTGATGGCGCGCACTGGCTGGCGGATCTGACGGATTTCCACCGTGCTTCGGACCCCTACGAGGACACGTACTTCACGCACCTCGCTGGGCTCCCAATCGCCACCCCCGACGACCCGAATTTCGAGCGCATCCCTTCCGAAATCCCACTGGAGGAGAACAAGCCTCCCATGGTACTCAACTTCTCCAGCCACGCGTGCGCGCTGTACGCCAACAATCATCGCGCGTCTGACCACGAGGCGTTCGCAGCCCGCCGGCGGCAGCGCCTCACAAACCGGAATGTGATCTCAGTCGCGCAGCTTCAAAAGACTAATGGTACGCTCCTCGAGAATCTCTCCCAGCGATGCTACCCTCCTTTCCCCTTGCCTTACCACTCTGGTCCCCTCATGCTCCCCCTTCTGCCCTCCATCTTGACACCTTCCCCACCCTGGTCCACTTCCTCCCTGCTCCTCCAAAGCTACATCTTTTACTCACCCTGCTCTATCCCTTTGTTGTCTCATTCCTCTCTGCCATCCCAGCTATGCTACATCCTTTTTCCCCTTCCTTACTGCCCTGTTTCCCTCGTGCTCCTCCTTCCGCTCTCCATTTCGACATCTCCCCCCTCCCGGTACAATACCTCCTCGCTCTCCCAGAGCCACTGTTATTACCCTCGCTGCTCTGCCCCATTGGTGCCTCATCCCCATCTGCCCCCCCAGCTATGCTACCTCACCTTCCCCTTGCCTCACCGCCCCGATCCCCTCGTGCTCCCCCCTCTGTTAGTCATTTCGACATCTCCCCCCCCTGCTGCACCATCCCCCCGCTCTTCCAGAGCTACAGCCCTCACCCATTTTGCTTTGTCCCATTGTCGCCTCATCCCCTATGTCCCCCCTGCTATGCTACCTCACCTTCCCCTTGCCTTACCGCTCTGGCCCCCTCGTGCTCCCCCTTCTGCTATCCATTTTGACACCCCTTCCCCCCTGGCACATTATCTTCCCGCTTCTCCAGAGCTACAGCCCTCACCCACGCTGCTCTGTCTCATCTCTGCCTCATCCCCCTCTGCCCTCCCAGCTATGCTACTTCACCATCTCCCCGCCTTACCTCTCTGGTCCCCTCGTGCTCCCCCTTCCGCTATCCACTTTGACATCTCCCCCCCCTTGCTACACTACCCCCCCGCTCTTCCAGCAGTACAGTTCTCACCCACGCTGCTCTGCCCCTTTGCTGCCTCCCCTCCCTCCTCTGACCACCCAGCTGCCGGGCCGCCACGATCACCGATGCCCGATTCCCCCCCATCACTCTACCCCTGCCTCCCCTCCGCCCCGCAGCCAACGCGCTCCCATGGAATTCCCCCCCCGCAACCCCATTTCTACCCCCCCCTATGCCCACCGTCTCATCCCCCCCTGCCCCCCCCAGCGGTCGGACCCCTGCACTCCCACAAGCTTACCCCAACCCCTCACCCTCCCCGCCCTTGCCTCTCTCTACAGCCCACTCTTCCCAACAGCCCCTCCCCCCCCCCCACCTCATCCACTCCAACCCCACCCCTTGGGGCTCACCCCCCCTTCTCTCGCCCGAATTCTGCCCCTCCTCGCCGCACAGCACTCACCTTTCCCTTCTTTCTCCCCACCCTCGCCCCTCCCCGCCAACAGCCCCCCTATGAAACCCTCCTCTGTCTGCTCCCCCTCCCCCCGACTGCACTCTCCTCAACCCCCTCCCCCTCAGCCCTCAGCTATTCCCGCCCCCCTTGTGGTTGGGCTCTTATCCCACCCTGCTCCCCTTCCGGCTTCCCCCCCCCCCTTCTTTGAACTTCCTCCTCCACGCAGGCAAAATCCTTGGAAACCACGCCGCGCCTACCACCTTGAGCAACGATCCTGGCCTTATCTACATCGGGCTCGACGAAAAGGTCGAGCCCTGGACATGTGCGCTCTGCGATTTCACCTGTGGCGCTGCCCTCGACAGCGCCATGCTCCACATTCAGTCCGAGCTGCATGCCTCGCGCGTGAAGGCTACGGCCCACCTCCCGGCAGCCAAGGAGGCCTATGGCCCCTGGCGCGCTCTCACTCTGCAGCAGAAGCCTTCGGTGGCTGCCTTCCTCCGTGGCTGAGTCCCGTGCCCTTGCATGTACGCCTTGGTAGAGGCCTCCTTGCATATTATCGGGTGCATGTCTCCCTTGCCCCCCAGTTAGAATATGGCTTTCTGGCCTGCTTGCATGCATTTGTATCCGTCATTATTATGATGCTGCTGCCCGTACCAAGGCCGACCTTTACCACCCTTTTCAAATGTAAACAATCAGCTCTAGTACGTTGTATGCACAATTCCTTGATCCAAACCTTACAGCAATATACCCACACACACCCCTCCTTTAGCCCGGCCACTTTCCTTTGCAACTGTCGGGGAAAGCCCCCCCCCAAGCCCTCGGTATACCTGTCTCTCCCTCCGTTGCACCCTTGCTCGTGGGGCTCTAGCCCCCTCCTCTCACCTTACGCTCCCGGCATCCTTCCTAGCTACACCTACCTCATAACTCGGCTATGGCGTAACTTTGGTCTTTTTCATATAAAACCTGCGTGCATTTATGGTTCACAAGCCCCTAACTCCAAACAAGCACTCCCTCGGCAGCTCTTTGAATCCCTGGACCCACCGATACGCCTTAACTCGCCGATACACCACCTAATGTCGCCGCGGCACCACGAACCACACCAAATCCGGCATGTCTCCGACCTCACCCCCACCCCTTCCACTCACCAGCAAAAAATGTGCTTAGGCCGTGGATACGCACTTTCTCCCGTGCGGTGGCCTTCACGTCGCTGCCATGTTAACGCACCTCCGAATCCTATGCATCAACGTGAACGGAATCAATGAGACTCGCAAAATGGATGAGCTCAAGTCCTGGCTCTCGCGCCTTCCCGCCCCCATTGACCTGATAATCCTCGTTGACGCTCGATTCATCCTCAGAATTCCCAACATCGATTTCAAATTCCGACCACACTCTTCCGCTCACGCTCCGGCGCTGCTCTCGACTGATAACGCTACCGGCAGGCCCACTCTCATCGGAGGCATATCCGTCCTCTCATTCAACAGGGCCATCTCAATGTCCTCCCCGCTCCCTTCTGCAGACGGCAGGCTTATCACTGTACACCTCAATTATCTCCGCGAGCAAATTCGACTTATCGCATTATATGCGCCCACACAATTCTACGAGCGTCGAACTTGGTGGTCCACCACGCTCGTTCCGGCACTGGAAACTTCAAGTTCGACCTTGGTGGACCGTTCTCGTGACCGCTGCCTCCGCGACCATGCTCGTTGGTGACTTCAACTCGGTCACCCTTCCCATTGACAGGAACCGGCCCCTCAAAGATTACGAAGGCCGTGAAGGAGCTTCCTTCGCCAAACTCATGGATTCTCACTCGCTGGTCGATACATTCCGAGAAATTTTTCCCACACCTGCCAACGTCTTCTCCTTCTATGGCAGGCAACGCCTGAACTCAGCGTCCCCGCCGACCTCTTCCCGTCTAGACAGAATTTATATCTCCCGAGCCTTCCTCCCCCGTCTCACTGCTAGCCCATACATTCAAACCCGCACGTCAATCACAGATCATTTGTATGCCCCTCTCTGCTCGCTCTGTTTCACCAACCCCACTGTTGCCCCCCGGCCCTGGCGACTCCGCCAACATCTTCTTATGCGACCCCATGCCGCACAAATCGTCGATGCCTCCCTTACAGCCTTCCCCTCCTCCCCTTCCCCGGAATCCTGGGACAGATGGAAGCTCGACCTCACCCTTAGCTTTAAAAGATTCTCCAACCTGGAAAGGCGTCGTGTCGATGGCACGATCGCGCACCTAGAGCGCACCATTGGCTCTCTACAATCACAAGCTGCATACACGTCCTTGGACCAGAACGATTCTTCTCGCCTCAGCAAAGCACAACTCCACTTGGCCAGATACGAAGCCTCGAAAGCCTCCGAGATTGCGCTTAAGGCCAAATTGAAAGTGGAAGGGCATAGAGAAATGGGTGTCTCCTCCCTCCTCTCCGGACTCAACTCGCGAATCAAAGGCTCGATCATCAACTCCTTGACCCTACCTAACGGGCAGACGACCTCGGACCTGGCCACCATGACTAGTATGTGCTCTAACTTCTTCCGGACACTCTATAGCGGGAGCAACCAAGTCACCCCTAACCCTTCTTTCTGGCAGCATATCCCTTCCTCATCCATCCCAAACCCCTTATTCCTCCAGCTTAGCGCTCCCCTTTCCCTATCCGAAATCGGAAAAGCACTCCTCTCTCTTTCACGAGGGAAAACCCCAGGCCCAGACGGTCTCCCAGGGGAGCTCTTTCGACAATTCTCCCCGCGCTTCGCACCGGCCTTCCACTCCCTACTCTCACCACCACAGCCACTCTCCTGCCTCCCTCCGTCCATGTTGACCGGACGAACGGTCCTTATCCCCAAAAGGGGGGATTCTTCGCTAGTGGAAAATCTCCGCCCCATTACCCTAATGAACGCGGATTACAAGGTACTCGCGCTATGCCTTGCTAACCGTCTTCAGCTCGTCCTCCCCCAACTCATCCACCCATCCCAAACTGCCTTCATCAAACACAGGAAAATCGGTGATACCATTAACGATACCTTGGACATCATGGACTGGGCGACCTATTCCTCGTCGCCCCTTCTCGCTCTCACTGTGGACTTTCGCAAAGCATACGACCTCGTCGACAGGCCTTTCCTCCTCCACGCCTTATCAGTTCTGGGACTCCCCACATCCTTCATCCACTGGGTTCGATTAATGCATTCCAACACGTGTACACGTATCTCGGTTAATAACATGCTCGGCCCCACCTTCCCCGTCCGCACTGGTGTCCGTCAGGGCTGCCCACTGGCTCCCCTGCTCTTCGTTTGCATCATGGAGATCTTTCACCGCTACACGTCCCTCTTCCTTCCTGGCTTCGCCTTCTCCCACGCACAGCGCCGTCTTATGGCGTGCTATGCAGACGACGTCACTCTCTTCCTCACCTCAGATACAGAGCTCGGACTTGCTGTAGTGCTGCTCGGTGTCTTTGGATCGGTCTCCGGAGAAATCCCCAACTGGAGCAAATGCTCCATAATTCTATTCAATATTCCCCCTACTGACCTCGTGCACGCCGGGAGCATACCTATCCGAGCTCCCAATGAGGCAGAACGCATCCTCGGAATTTACGTTGAGCGCCTACACCCTGGCTCCACCACCTGGAACAAGGCTCTCGCCCGCATACAAAGCACCGCCAAGTGTCTAGCAGCACTACACGCCACTGTCACGTGTCGCAAATCCCTCTCCTTTCTAAACTCTGTCATCTCCTTTCCCGGACGCTTTCAACCCGCCCCTTCAGACACAATCAAGCACCTAGACGTGTCAGTTGGGAACTTCCTTTCATCCTCGAAACACAAGCTAGACGGCCTCGCACAACGCCTCATTTCCAAGGCCCTCCTGTACAATTCCCTCCAAGACGGCGGGGTCGGGGCGATTGCCCCGTCTATACAAGTCAAAGCCCTGGCTATTCAGCGCGCCCTGCGCAGATTCGGACCAACCCCCTCTGAGGAAGTAGCACGTACCCTGACCCCGTTCCCCTTCGGGCTACATGGACTACTCTCCCATAAAGCCATCCTCGAACGAGATTTGCTCCCTACATTCATCCCCCCGCGGGCACTGGACGAACTTAAAGCCCTCCTCTCTCTCCCCTTGGTCATTCATAAGCCCCCCCTACGCATGCAGTGCATCCTCACCGAACCTATCGCCTTCAACCGCTTTCTCCTCAAACCCGACGAACGGCCTTTTGGCACCCGCCAACACGAACGCTTCCTTCTTACAAGGCAGCTCCGCATCGGACACCTTGTCCGTATCACCAATTTTGATGTCAGCCCCGTCTCTGCAGACGAGTTTTGCTCCCAAATCCCGGAGGAGTTCCATGAAGACGCAACACGCATCCTCCCAGACCTTATCAAGGCTATCAAACCTCCCTGGTGGGCCGCCCTCCGAACCCCACATGCCTCTTATGCCTCTCCAGGTGAATGGTTCATGCTTTCAGACGACCACTATTCCATCTCTCATCTCGCCCTCCAAGTCGTCGCTTACATTCCCCCTGCCTCCGTTTCGGCCACTGTCCACTCCGTCTCGCCAAATTGTCGCATCGCCCGCAACCCAACAAACACCGGACTCTTCCGTTTACAAGACCTCATCGAGGTGCACGTCAGGGATTGGTGGCTCGCAGGGCCACTTCACACAGGGGCAGGGTTAGGAGCTAGGATTGGACTTCTACAGGACGGCACCCCCAGCATCGCCGACATCCGCCGTCTCCTCTACTCAGCACAACCGCTAACTCACCACAGCCGATGGACCCGCGATCTCACCCTTCCTCCTCCTCCTCTCCCAGGCCTTAAGGACGCATTTCTCAAGGACCAGCCGAGCCGTCAGCGGGACATCCTTTTCAGACTCTTCACGCTCACCCTTCCCTCTGGATCACGCTTCCAGTACTTTGACGATCGAGGGGTTTGCCCTCGATGCCCAGCTGCCGTCGTCGAGACACTGCCACATATATTCTTTGAATGCTCCTCCGCCGGAAACGTCATCTCGGCTCTTCGCACAGTCGCTGACCGCCATCTAGGACAAACCACCACAGCCGAACACATCTTCTTCCCGATACAGTCACGGGTGGGACAGTCCCCCCCATGGAGCCTACTAGTGGGAGCTGCAGTTAAGACACTGTGGAATGCTCGCTGCGACCACAAGTACCGAAACTCCTCCTCCTCGAGCTTCGAGATACTACAGCTGGTATTAGCCCAATTTCTCATCGCTTTCAAAATCTACATTTGGAGAAGCAGACGCCAATCTACCAAGAAGAGACAACGTACATCCTCCAGCATCAAGCGCGCACAAAAACTTCGCTTCCTCCTCTTCGACAGGAGCGGTACACCCTCTATTCACCCCGACCTCAGAGCCTCATGGCTTATGGGAAACCCGTTCCGACCCCCGTAGATGGCTACCTGCATAGAGTGTCTCCCCAGTCTGCTGGTGGTTGTCCTTTAGGACAAAGAAATAACGTGTGTTCCACGTGCTCCTTATAGGATGCTGGCCACTTCGGCCATGTTTCTAGATAGCTCTATGCTACTATTCTTTGTAAATTGATTACGATCAATATATAACCTTAACCCGATCTTGCACGGCTCGCGACTCGACTGCCGTTGGTGGCATCCCGAAGTCGGGGGAACCACCGAAGTTTGGAAACCTGGAGCTACTTCCCCGGACGGAATTGTTTTTTCTATCGAGGATTTTTCCACTCTAGAATTCTGAGATTCCCAATTTGGGGGCCATTTCAGTTTCAATCTTCGTGGTCGCGAATTGCCGTATCGTTAAAGCCCAAGACCTGAATTACAAAAAAAGGAAGGCAAACTGTGCACAGTTTGCCTTCCGAGCCCACAGTTGACTTCTCGAGCCTCTCTGGTTACCAAATGACGCCCCGCAAAGAACCAGAGAGTCGTAGAGCAGCACAAAATTGGTTGGCGAGAGTCCCAACCGCTCCCTCCTGAAGGGAGTAGGGGAAGGCAAGCTGTGCGCAGTTTGGAAATTGTGGTAATTCAGGTCATGCTCGACCACATAGTATCCACGTGAAACTCCTAGGTAGAACAGAAAGCCAATAGAGCCCGAGCCCAATAGTTTGGTAGGAAAAAAAACACCAAACAGATTCTATGCGATGGCGCCACTTTTCACTCAGCGTCGTCGTCGAAACCCTGCGCGACCGCGAAAACGTCAGTTTGCGGCGCATGCATCTCCTCTCCGAGGTCGATATTAGGTAATCGTACGGTCGATCGCTGCCATTTCCCGCGCATTCGCCCTATGTTTGCCTCAGCTATGTTCCCCCACCGTCCTTCCTTGTCGGCGTCACACCCTGCCACACACGCTTCCCCTCGTCGACGTCGCCGTCCCCCACGCTTCCCCCCACCGTCGCCCGCGCTTCTTCCCGCTGTCGATCACACTTCACTCCGTCGTTGACCACGCTCTTCCTCCCGTCACCCACGCTTCCCCCCACTGTCGCTTACGCTCCCACCCACCGTCGCTTTCACACTTTCCCCCACCGTCGCCCTCGCTTTCCGCCACCGTCGCTCACGCTTTCCCTTACCGCTGCTCACGCTCCCTCCTGCCTTCCCCCACGCTTCCCCACACCGTCGCTCGCGCCCTCCCCCACCTTCCCTCACGCTTCCCCGCACATCACCCACGCTTTCCCCCACCGTCGCGCTCGCTTCCTCCCACCGTCGCCCACGCTTTCCCCCACCGTCGCGCTCGCTTCCTCCCACCGTCGCCCACGCTTTCCCCCACCGTCGCGCTCGCTTCCTCCCACCGTCGCCCACGCTTTCCCCCACCGTCGCCCACGCTTCATCTCACCGTCGCCCACGCTTCCTCTCACCGTCGCCCACGCTTTCCCCCACCGTCGCCCACGCTTCCTCTCACCGTCGCCCACGCTTCCCCTCACTGTCGCCCATGGCAGGTGGTGGTGCGGCTTTGGAGCAGAGTGTTGGGCGCACAGCCAGGGCAGCGCGTGCAGGCGGGCAGCAAGGAGTGCAGTGCTGCAGGGGGCTGGTTAGGGGAGGCGGAGCGGGGGAGGGGTTAGGGAGAGAGGGTGCAGGGATCCTCCTATCCCCCTTACCTCCTGCCACACTCTTACCTCCTGCCCTCCTCCCTTACTCCGTTCCGTGGGGCCCCCACAGTCGTCCTCCTCTCCCTCTCTCTTCCTCCCTTCCTCCATCTATCCCACACTCTCTGCCTCACTACCCTCTTTCCCCTTTCTGTTGCCCGTTCTCCCTCCCTTCCTCCCGCCCTCCCTTCCTGCCATTCTCCCTCTCCTCATCCTCCCTCGATCCAGTCCCCCTTTCCCTTTCCATCTCCCTCTCGCCCACTCCCTTCCTCACGCCAACCCTGCTCCTCCGTTCCACCCATCCTCTCATCCGCCCATCCTCTCATCCGCCCATCCTCTCATCCGCCCATCCTCTCATCCGCCCATCCTCACTCCGTTGCTCTCACTGCCTCCCACTCTCCCTACACTCCCTCCCACCGTCACCCACGCTCCCCCCACACCCTTGTACCCTTCTTTCCTTCTCTCTGATTCTCCCTTCTCCCCGTTCCTCCCTTATACCCTGCCACACTTTTACCTCCCTCACTTTCTCCCATCCGCCCTTCCTCCAAGCCTCCCTCCTCCCTACCACTCTTTCTTTCATCCTCCTGCCTCTCCACCCTGCTGCCCTTTTTTTCAAGCTGCCATCTTCCGATATTCCTATCCTCCGCCTTTCTGTCTGACCCACTTGCCTACTCCCTCGAATTTCTCACATCCTCCCATCCACCCTTTCCCTTCCAAGCCTGTACACTCCTAGCCTGTTTGTATATTCAAGGGGATTGCCCTTTGATTGTTATTGTTTTGTACGGTCTCCTTCCCAGCTGCTCCAACATATGACACACAAAATTTTGTGGTTCGTGTTTGTGCAGGTCTGCCATGCACCCAGATGTGAGGTGTTCGTTGTTTGATGATAGTGGTATGACAAATAGGTTGCCATGCCATGTATTGACGCTTATGCTTTTATAAAAAAAACCTTCTCTGCTTCAGAGCAGCCATGCACATGGCCACTACAAAGAAGTGGAACAAAGCATAATATTGTTTATGTAAAAGTTGTCATCAATAGACTACAGGAACACATTCATCAAATTCCTGTTGGGACTCATGGTGCTGGGCACCTGTAACCTGTTCAAGCATGGTTCCGTGATAGAACGGGAAGGGAAGAGGGGGTATGGCAGATAAGCGAGGGTTGGATGTGGACGGGGCAGAGGGGTGAGCAAAAGGGGAAAGAGAGTGAGCAGGGGGGAGAAGGGGGTGAGCAGGGGGGAAAGCCAGTAAGCAGGGGAAACCGAGGGGTCTGAACAGGGGAAATAAGAGTAGTGTGGGGAAAAAAGGTTAAACGAAGGGGAATCGAGAGTAAACAGGGAGGAAAGGCGGGTGAGTCCAGGGGGAGAGAGTGAGCAGAGGGGGAAAGAGTGAGCAGGGGGGGAAAGAGTGAGCAGGGGGGGGGAGAGTGAGCGGGGGGGGAGGGAGTAAGCAGAGGGGGAGAGAGTGAGCAGGGGGGAGAGAGTGAGCGGGGGGGAGAGAGTGAGCGGGGGGGGAGGGAGTGAGCAGGGGGGAAGAGAGTGAGCAGGGGGGGAGAGAGTGAGCAGGGGGGAAGAGAGTGAGAGAGTGAGCAGCGGAAAGAGATTGAGGGGGGGAGGGATTGAGCAGAGGGGTAGATCGTGCGTAGGGGAAAGAGATCGAGGGGGGAAGGGATTGAGCAGGGGGGTAGAGAGTGAGGCGAGGGGGAAAGAGAGGAGTGAGAACAGGGGGAAAGGGAGTGTACATGAGAGAAGAGAGTGAAGGGTGGGGAAGAGAGTGAGTGGAGGGCAGAGCGTGAGCTGGAGAGAGTGAACGGCAATGGGAGGGGTAGTGAAGGCGACGGGCGGGAAGTGAGTGCGACTGGCGGGAAGCGAGTGCGACGGGCGGGAAGCGTGTGCGACTGGCGCGGTGTGCGACGAGCGGGGGAAGCGAGTGCGACGGGCGGGGGAACGGAAGGCGCCGTTCGGGAGAAGCGAAGGCGACGGGCGGGAAAAGCGACGGGAGGGGGAATTGAGCGCGACGGGGTCGGGGGAAAGAGAAGGCGACGGGGGAGGGGAAGTGAAGGCGACAGGCGTGGAAAGCGAGGGCAACGGGCGGAGCGAAGGCGACGGGCTGGGGTCGCGAAGGCATCGGAAGGAGGTCTTGAAGGCGACGAGCTGGGGAAGCGATGGCGAAAGAGATTGAAATCGTGGGGCCTTGGGAAAGGAAAACGACGGCAAGGAGAGGTTCATGCTTTGGCGAAGGGTCACGCTACGATATTCCGTGCGAGTATACGCATCAGTTGCACTAAACCTGCATTTCGACACCAACGAACACTACTTTGCGCGTCGTCATCGAAATCCGCGCCACACACATTCGTAAGGCGCCTCTGATTCCCCGCTATCTCTACAGGTACGCTCCCTGCCTAGTTATCTGCGTGCTATCTCAGACTGTGCACAGTTTGGGATCTACGCCCTTTTCAGGTTGTGGGAAGGACCCCACCTAGCACTCGTATTCTTGTACGCGAGAAACTTTTGTCGCAAATTGGTTTCGCGAGTGAAAGTGCTTCGCACCCCAACCGAACCTCTGTCTGGTTGCCTTCCGAACCTATTTTTTTCCGTTGACTTGCGTTGAGTAATTCAGGTTTTGGGCTTTAACTTGGCGGAAAAGCGTCGGAAGCAGGTTCTAGTAGGGTAAATAGGGGGTGCGGACGACGAGCACCGAGGGGGAATTCAAACTTCAAATAGTGTGCCCCGCCCCCAACCTCAGGCGTTTCGGCGATTGTCGTGTCGCGTCGAGACTCTCTTGAACCAAGTGCCTCCCGAGTCCCGACCCGAACCTAGCTCTTAGGACGCGTCACAATTGCAACACCGGCGAGGATCAAGGTCGTACACCGAGGCTGTGAACATCAATCTCCTCCGAGCCACATGTGTCGCGATCGTCCTCACGATCCTTATTTTGCAGGGTTAGAAACGTTTTAGAAAGTTTTAAATGATTACGCTTGATTTGAGTACGGTAACAGATCGAACTGGAAGAGACGTCTCCCTTGGTGACGTGACTCAAATCTTGGCGAAACTTTGCAAAATAAGGATACACAGGTTTACGAATTACTGTACAGTCCAAAGTCGACCCTCCAGGGGATCGGTATTGCAATTGTGACGCGTCCTTATGTTTCGAATTTAGCAGCCCCTCCCCTCTCCCTCTTGGCGTGCAAGATTGCAAGCAACAAACATGGTCCAGTCAGAGCAGCAGGTTGAAGTTTACATCATCGACACGCACCGTAGGCTCTTACCTATGACTGTCCGCGCCGCGTCTCAGTCAAGTCAGCAAGCTCTCTAGCTCGACATTGATTTTGTTTTTCTACAGTGATGAATCCGCGAACACAGGAGTTGCGCGGCCGCAGTCTGGGGCTGCTGCTCCGCTCTTCCGCAGTTACAGCACTGAATGTTGAGGGAGTGCGCGCACCCCTCATTGAGCACCAAGCATCCTCGGCTTGCTCCACCTCTCCCCCATTTCTCGCACGCCTGCCGGCCTGTTCCCCGGCACCGCTCGCGACTCGACTTCTGCTGTATGGGCAGCTCCTCCTCCTCTCCCTCAGCAGTCGTTAAAATGTAGCAGAAGCAGGTCGAAGTTTAGTCGCACCTCATGGACGAACCAGAATCAGGCATTCTGCCCCCAAACTCACTTGACCCAAGCGGCTTCCAATCCGAACCTAGCCCTTCTGTTCCTAATTCGGCAGCCCCCCTCCTACTCTCCCTCAGTAGAATAGCCACACCTCATTGACGAACCAGAATCAAGCATTTAAGCTCCTACTTTTGTCGGTCCGAGCGCGCGCGTCTAAATCAAGCCATCAAACCCTCTCGCTCGACATTGACAATTTTTATGTAATAAATCGCGAGACGTAAATAGCAGGTAGTTTTTTGTCAGAGAAAGCCACCACGGCGTGTAGTAAGTGGCAGGAGCAGAAGCATGTTGGAAACGGCTATTCTAATGCCTCCAGCAAGGTCCGAGGACGAGTCTGAGTGTCCAATCCTTCCGCATCATGAAGTGCCCAACGGAGAATGCGCCGCCGCGCTCGACAGCCAGACGGGGAGTGCCCCCGCGAGAAACGGCGCAAAATGCGGCGACGATCTCGGCGCGATTTGCGGGGCCTGCCCGTATTCATCTACCGCTCTACGAGCCCGAAACGAGCTAGACGGCAATGGCGACGCCGATCGCGACGCCGATGGCAATGGTGATGGCGGTGGCGGTGGCGGTGACGGTGTTGGCGACGGCAAATGTCCTTCAAACTCTTTCCTCGGGTACTTCGGTGACACGTGGAAGGTCGCTGACGTGGCAGTAAGCTTGAAAAAGGATCATTCTGGTTGGAGGGGGCGTTTACTCCACGGGCTGTTTTGGGCTGTCCCGCTGCTGCTCATCGTGCTGATGCCGCAATTCGCGGCGCTGACGAGCGGTCCGAGAGATCTCACGTGGCTCGTTGACTTCCCACGAGGCGTAAGAGTGGGAGGCGAGGGGGATGCGATCCCGGAGATTGAGACGGAGAGCGGGACGGTAACTGAGACGGTAACAGAGACGGTAACAGAGACGGTAACGGAACCAGCTGCGGCAGCGGCGCGGGATGTGGCGGAAGCGGAGCATAAAAATGCGGAAGGGGGCGTGGGGAAGCAAGAGGGGCTTGCGGCAAGTGGTACCGCAGAGGAAGGGGGCGGGGGGAATATGGCGGAAGAGGGGGATGCGGGAGAAGGCGCGGGGAATATGACGGAAGAGAGGGATGCGTATGTTCACGCGGGGGAGGATGCGAGACTAGCGGAGAACGAGGGCGCGGGGATTGCGGAGAACGGGGGTAAGAATGAGGATGTGGACGAGAATGGCGGGGGGCGGAGCGAAGGGCGAGGGAATCCGGAAAAAGGGTCGGAGAGAGACGAATCGGGTCATGAAAGGGAATCTCCCGCTGTTGTTGAACAGGGGGAGACGTCGTCTCGCGAAATTAGCGAATCCAACCAAGCGACTGGTAACCACGAGCGTGTGAACGACGAGAGCCCACAAACCGAACGCGCGGCGAACCGCTCGAGTTCAGATTCTGAATCGCAGGGAGCAAGCGACGCGGACGAGTTAATTGCGGAATTGGAGCAGCGAACTCTGGGTGACGTGGAGCCTCTTGATTCGCGGAGGGTTCTGCAGTACCTTCATGTTAATCCGCGATTAACGTGGGAGACGATGTGGTTACCCGTTCGGCGAGAAAACTACTTTCGCCCGGGTGAAAAATACTACTTTGTTACCGGGCAGCGCGATTTCTGTGCAGGGATTCGCCACTTCCATCGCAGCCTGTCGTGCAAGATCGCAGAAGCAGCTTTTCTAAATCGCACGCTTGTACTCGATATGGGGTTGTGCATTAACAAACTGCACAATGGCGGTTCCGCGAGTGTTCACGGTCTACATTACTACTACGACCTGCCCTCCCTTAGGTAAGACTGTCTCTCAGGTAATACCGTCACTCAGGTAATACCGCCTCTCAGGTAATACCGTCACTCAGGTAATACCGCCTCTCAGGTAATACCGTCTCTCAGGTAATACCGTCTCTCAGGTAATACCGCCTCTCAGGTAATACCGTCTCTCGGGTAACACCGTCTCTCGGGTAACACCGCCTCTCAGGTATTACCGTCTCTCAGGTAAAACCCTCTAACAGGTAACACCCTCCCCCAGGTAACACCCTCCCCCAGGTAACACCCTTTCGTTTCTTTTCTACTGCATCTCTTTTTCCACCTTTATCTTTATTTTATTTTTATTTATTTGTTTTTTTTCCTCTTCATCACTCGCAGAATGCACAGATTCACCCCTCTGAACGGGTTCCTGGAGGTGTTGACGGAGTTGCGGCACCTCGAATATTACTAAACAGTTCCTCCCAACCTCCCAACCCCCCACCCCCCCCACCCCTCCCCCCCTCCCTCCCTCTCTGCAGGGCCGCCAGATTCACCCCTCTGAACGGGTTCCTGGAAGTGACGTGTAAAAAGTGTATTTTCGAGACGTCTCAAAAATACACTTTCTACACGTGGCCCCTCTGAACGCTTTCCTGGATGTGCTGACGGAGCGGCGGCGGCTCGGAATGACTCAACAGTTCCCCACAACCCCCCCACCCCCACCATCCCACCACCCCCGCCCCTCTCTCTATTCCCCGCAGGGCCGCCAGATTCACCCCTCTGAACGGGTTCCTGGAAGTGTTGACGGAGTGGCAGCACCTCGAAAATTACTAAACAGTTCCTCCCAACCTCCCTCCCACCCCCCCACCCTCCCCCCCTCCTCTCTGCAGGGCCGCCAGATTCACCCCTCTGAACTGGTTCCTGGAAGGGCTGACGGAGTGGCGGCGGCAGCAGGGGCAGGGGGGAGGGGACGGGGGCAACAGCGGGGAGGAGGCGCATGAAGAGGGGGAGGCGGCGGGACGGCGCTTGAGGGGAAGGAAAAGGGGAGCGGCGGGGAAGAAAAAGCGGAGCGGCAGCAGAGGATCTGGCGGAGGATCTGCAGGTGCAGCCCTCTCTGCACGTGTGGTTGAAGCAGACACACGGACAAGAGTAAGAGGGGGACCAACAGACTGCTCTTAAGAGTACTTCCAAGGAAACTTATGGGTCGACTCAAAAGTCACCTTGTATCTATATCTGCAGGGGAGTGTGTGTCATGTGCAGCCCATCTGCGCGCCTGCGTTGTGCAAGCAGACTCAAGGTCAAGGGTGATTGACTTTTGAGTCGACTCAAAAGTCATCTGCGTGGCCGCGTTGTGTAAGCAGACTCAAGGACAAGGGTGATTGGGACGAGGCGAGCGCTGCAACTGGCACAACCTGGTGAGCGCTTAAGTTCCTCCCCCAGCACAACCAGGCGAGCGCTGCAACTGGTGAGGGCTTATAGTTCTAAGTCTCCTCTCCTCTCCTCCCCTCTCCTCTCCTCTCCTCTCCTCTCCTCTCTTCTCCTCTCCTCTCCTCTCCTCTCTCTTATTCGCATGCCTTGCGCTCGTTCAAGCAATCCACCTACGTGCTTGCTCTACCCACCCACCCACCCACCCACCCACCCACCCACCCACCCACCCATCCATCCATCCATCTCTCCATCCATCCATGACAGAACGAACGAATCTGTCATTTCCCTTCCGCCCGGAGTGGCTTTTATGACGTCTCAAAAGCCACCTTGACCCACCCACCGCACCCTTCCACCCATGTGTAACAGCGATATGACCCTACATTGCATCGAATGAGACTGCTATTCTCTTTCGCCCGGAGCTGAGGGGACCAGCAGCCAGCATGTCACAATCCACGTATTCTCCTGCCCCATCCAAAATCCTTCACCTATCCATGACAGCCATTCGACTACATCACAGCGAACGAATCCGCCATTCTCTTTCGCCCGGAGCTAAGGGAACTAGCAGCCAACATATCGCAATCCATGAATGCGGGGGACTACGATGCCGTGAGAGTGAGGAGAGGTGACAAGCTCAACACTCAAGTGTGGCCGCACGTTGCGAATGACACGAGCCCTCCCGCGTAAGTCTAAGTCAACGCCTCAAGGTGACTTTCGAGTCGACTCAATAGTCACACCTACGACGCCGTGAGAGTGAGGAGAGGAGGCAAGCTCACCACTGAAATGTGGCCGCACATGGCAGATGACATGAGCCTTCCTGCGTAAGTCAGCCAATCTTGACTCGAATTCAGCTGTGTTAAGATGATAATAAGTTAATAATGAATGCTGCTAGTGGTGAACATTTTTTAAGCTTCTTGGGGTGCATAGTCAGATTTTTCCACCGAATGGTTTCCTGTTACCTGTATTTTCCCTGGATTTCGCTCTGTAACAGTCTACTGGAGAAGCTCCCCCGGTTCGTTGCACCTGGACGCACTCTCTACATCGCGACGAATGAGAAAACGCCAGGGTTCTTTGACCCGCTGAAGGCTCTTTTCGCGATTAGGCGATTTCGGGACTTCGACAATCTCTGGGCGCCTGGCACGCCCTGGTTCGATGGATACGCGCGAATCCTGGGTGCGAACCCCAAGCTCGACCCGTACATGGAGGTACGGTACACGCTAAGACTTTTTTTTCATGGAGTTACAGTGACTGCTATGCCTATTTGTGTGTGTGTGTGTGTGTGTGTGTGTGTGTGTGTGTGTGAGAGAGAGAGAGAGAGAGAGTGTGTGTGTGTGTGTGTGAGAGTGAGTGTGTGTGTGTGTGTGCATGCGTGCGTGCGTGTGTGTGTGTGTGTGTATGTGTGTGTGTGTGTGTGTCTGTCTCTGTGTCTGTGTGTGTCTGTGTGTGTCTGTGTGTGTGTGTGTGTGTCTCCACATGTGTGAGTCTTGGTGTCTAATCACCGCCATTTCCTTGCTCTTCCATAGTGGAAGACAAGATTCTGTTTGCCACTGTGCTAGTGTGTATGTGTGGCTTTCCTTATATTCTTGTGTGTGCGTGCATGTGTCCCCGTGTGTGCCCTTATATTCTTGTGTGTGCGTGCATGTGTCCCCGTGTGTGCCCTTATATTCTTGTGTGTCTAATCACCACCTTTTCATTGCTTTCTCGTATGCTACAGGCCATTGTGGAGTACAAGGTACTGTTTGCCGTCCGTATGTGTGTCTGTCCCGGTGTGTCTAACCTGCCGTCTTTTTCTCTTACCTGTTGTGCATTGTGCTCACAGGCCATTGTGGAGTACAAGGTTCTGTTTGCCGCGAAAACAAAAGTTTTCACGTTCAACAACCTCACTAGCGATGCAGAGGGTGGAATAAGGCCTTCAGCCATGAGCAGGCATTGACTGCTAAAAGACAACAGCACTTGTTGTTACAGAGCATTTACTGCCCTGTATTGTGCTCTAATGTGCTCCCTGTATACCGTAATAATGCCTGCTCTATTGTGTGTGCTAGCCCATACAGGGCTTGGTTGTCGTGCTTGGTGCCATTCTTGTTCATACTGAGTTTTGATGCGGTAGAATTGATGATGCAGTGACATGCTTACACAAAACTGGTTGGTTGCCTTTGACTTCCTGTGGGATGGGAATCAAAACAGAATTCGTTATCCTGGTGCAGCTACACTGAGCCAATTCCTCCAGCCCATGCGCATTCATTTCTGATTTACGCTCCCTTTTAAAATTTATATGCCTAGAGATAATACAGCCAAACAAACGACTCTAGTGCAACATCTAAAGCTACATGGGCCATTGCTGTACGGTATGCTCCGTGGTGAGGTCTAGCCCTGAACCAGTGCCTACTCAGATCCTGGCACAACCCATTTAGGACACTACACTAAAAAAATCAATAAATAAGCAGCTGTTGCTAGTGCTACAGAACTGTACCATAACCCCGCTTGATCATACAGGTGCAAGAATTATCGTGTGAGACACACAAAATACCTGAAACACTCCAAGCATAAGACCAGTGCTGCAAAGAGAGAACACCATACTTTTCTAGGTTGGTAAATTACTGCCTTACAGTGGTCGGTCGTACATGGGATAGCTTTGGAGTCGACTCAAAAGCTGACGGTGGTCGTACATGGGATTTGAGGCAAGATGGAAGGATGAGAAGCAGGCTTAGGCTGGTGGGAGGCCAAAGGACATCAGACACCTACAAAAATAATTATTGCCTAGGCTCAGCATCTTGGCAGGATGCCGGGTTGAGGTGGCAGATGCTGATGCAGGGTGGCAGGAAGCGGGTGTGTGGGGTGCAGGGAGCAGGCATAAGGCGGCGGCATGTGCTGGGAGGGATTAAGACGGCGGATGCTTTTGAGAATTCTCAAAAGGGATTAAGACGGCGGATGTTGTGACAGACGGCGGTGGCAGGAAGCGGGTGCAGGGCGGCAGAAGGGACCGTTAGAGGGGATGCAGAGATATTTGATGTTGGGACCGTTATTTGCTGCGCAGAGTGTCTAGGACAAGCGCTGAGACCCCTCAACAGCCGCGCCTGAAACGTGGTCTAGGATGGCAGGTGTCGCGACAGCAGCCCGTCAAAGGCCGTGTAGAGGTCCTTGTTGTCGGGACCGAATATCTCGTCAGCCTTGCGCAGCGTTTCCTGCCATGACAAGCATTTGAGGTGGGAAAAAGTGGGTGGAGAAAAGGAGCTTCAAGACAGCAGATGGCGTGACAGACAGCAGCCCGTCAAAGGCCGTATAGAGGTCCTTGTTGTCGGGTCGGGGCCAAATTTCTCATCTGCCTTGCGCAACGTTTCCGGCGAGGATGGGAGGGCGAGGGGCGGTTCAGGTGGAAATATTTCGGGAACAAGGGGAGATTGAGGGAAAAACAAGAGGACAAATGAGGAACTTCATGGAGAATAAGGGGATGTGAGGAGGTGTTCCTGTGGAAACCTTTTGAGTCGACTCAAAAGTCACCTTGGAAAAACAAGAGGACAAATGAGGAACTTCATGGAGAATAAGGGCATGTGAGGAGGTGTTCCTGTGGGAACCTAAGGCGTTTCCAGTAGTCGTGCTTTACTGAATTAGGTCTGGTGAGGTGAGGAC